GAAAGTCTGAGATATAACTCTCATTGGCCAAGAGATTTCCGAAAGTTTGCCCGAATAATACACTAAAAAACAATATCTCGGTGTATTTACTAAGAAAACGGTAAAATTACTAAGAATTCAGGGTTCTATTTGATCCCAGTTTTTTCCATTTATGGAATTGGTTGACTGAAAATGGTTGACTGAAATTATTGACTTTCTCGGTAATTTTACTGGACCCCGGTAAAAACGCCAATATTTTTTATCGACTGTGGTAGAATTACCGCGATAAAATGGCAAAGTTACCGGGAATTGATTACCAATAAAAGTGGTATTCTTATCAGAAAAAAACAGTAAAAATACCGGTTTTTAGGTCAGCTTACCAGTCTGTCTTTGTAAAATTACCAATAATTGGTAAAAAATGTGAGATGGTAAAGTACCAACGGACCTTGGTAAAAACGCCGAGAAAACGCCGTAGAGCTATGGTTCGGCAAATTTCAATTAATTTATTTAAAAAAAAAAAAAAAAAAAAAAAAAAAAAAAAAAAAAAAAAAAAAAAAANAAAAAAAAAAAAAAAAAAAAAAAAAAAAAAAAAAAAAAAAAAAAAAAAAATTTACACAAACGCACATTACTCCCTCATCTAACTTTTAAATTTTCCAATAAATAAAAACTTCTGACGACGACTTGAATAACATTCTTGCTTGTGAATGTATATATCTTACACCATTATACCTGCTTAAAGTTTGATGAATACTTATTTTCGTGTCAGCAACCTACTTTTGGTATGGGATAAAGGATAAATAATTTTGGTATTTAAGGAAATATCGGTTATCCTATGATCGTTGGTGAGACAGGCACATGAGGTGATCAGGGGTCTCAGAGCGCTGCGCTGGAGTGTACTATCGGAGCGACACATGCTTGTATGATATTTAGGATGAAAAAAAACGCTTTGCCACAGTGAAAACGAAAGGTAGATTTTGACTAATCGTTTCTACGAAAACAGTTGCGCCTAATAAGCCTGACAGGTCAGAAAATCGTCCCCCTTGAACTTGAGATTTTCTGGATAACGGGTGGTTTCCTTGGTAAAAATTGGCGATAGGAGCTGCGTTTCAAAATACCATAGGAGTTCTTATAGCCGACTGAAGAAGGCGATAGAAAATCATATAGCTAGCTGTAGAAAGTGGGAAAAAATCATACGGCCGGGCTACACGAAACAATAAAAAATTATACAGTCGGGCTATAGTTCCTATCGCCGGGATTTACACTTTATCGCCTGGCTGTTGCTTTTTCGCCATCGGCTATAAAAGGCTATAAGAAATTGTGTAGAAATTCGTGTGCTTTGTAAATCCTTAAGTTTGTACGGAATCACCTTAATATTTACAAAACGCACATTATATTTTCCTTTACTACATATTTTTTTCCATAAAATATAATGAGAATAATCCATACAGAGTGTTCAAAAATTTCGAAGTCATGAGTTGAAAAACGCTGACTCCACGAGATTAAATATTAAATATTATTAAATATAACTCCTAACACAAAGCGGAGCAGCGGCGCACTGGCGCCTACAAACCTAACAGGGATACTTCACGCATCGTGCAATGCGTGAAGTATCCTTGTTAGGTTTGTAGGCGCCAATGCGCGTTTCGCGCTGGCTGCCCGCCCGCCGCACCGCAGCGTACCACGGCGCTTGAGGCAACCATTTCACGCTAGAGGTATTGCACAGTATCATACGAAATTGAAGGCGCTCCAACAAATTAGGAATGGCAGGCATTCTTCAAAAGTACGGAGCTTTCCTCGCAAAATAAATCAAGATACGGCCAAAAAAGAGAGCGGTAGTCCAAAAACTCAGTAAGTTCTAGCATCCGTTATTAGTAACGTTTAGCATACACTTTATCGCCAGGATGTTGCTTAATCGCTATCGGCTATAAAAGGCTATAAGAAATTGTGTTGCCGGCTACAGAAGCTATTGGAAATCTTACAGCCGGCTGTAGGTCTATGGTATTTTGGAACACAGATTCTACTGCCAATTTTTACCAGGGTTTAGAGAGTAGGTGATATAGGTTGTTTTGAAGGCCACGACGAGACGAGTTTTTTGAGGTATCACTGACTTAGATCGGATGAGTTCGAAAAATCATCCCCTAGTGACCTTGACGTTACTGAACTAAGGGATGGGCCAATTTTCACCAAAAATGAAATTTGATGTAGACCTCATAGCAGTGAAGAACCAGGCTTAGTTTCGTTTTGATCGTATGGAAAGTTCCGGAAAAAAACGGTCGCAAAGGTTCGTTAGATCCCAGTTATAAATATATACATCGTACTTTTTTATGACCTACATTTTTCAACTCAGGGCTTCAGGATCGATGCACTTTGAGCGAAAATTCCCGAAAATTACGAGATTACGAGAAAGGTGTCCTTTCGCGTGCGCAAAAAAAAAAAACACGAAAGAGGGGAAAAATATGATAAAAAAAATCCTTGACGCCATAGGTCGTTGCAGAAACCCTGGGACGGAACTTATAATTTTGAGACGGATATTCATCGAACCGACTTTAAAAAGCTTTAACAACCCGTTGAAAACCGTCAAAAAGGTTTTCAGCGTGATTAAACGTGGCTAAACAGCAAGGATTGGTTTTTTTCAATTTGGTCCCCCATGAACTCATTATCAGTGGGCATCACTAGCCTAATAGGATTTTAGTGCCTCTACTTAGAATCCATTAAAGTGGCGAAAATGGAAACTCATCATCGGTAGACCGATCTGTAAAACTTTCCCTATGAATTCAATACTTTTATTGAAGTTACAGCGTTGCGAGGTCCATTCAATTCGACCCTGGAAAATTTCCATACTCCAGAGACACCGACACATATTCCTAGAACGATCTATAGGTAAGTGAAAATTTCCCTTTTTTCCTGTAGAGCGAGTTAAAAAGGAACGTGATAGGTCACATAAAAAAAAAAAAGTTTGGAGTGGTTTTGAGAGTAACTAGTTGTGAACTTGTTACATTTAACAATTCGAGGTCGGGGTAAATATATTTTGATTATGTATACAGTCGTTTAAATTATCCTTAAATTGAGTCTTATGGAGGTATAAAACCTCCAACGCCCAAGAGAGGTTACCAAAAGTATAAATTTTAACAGTTCGATGAAATTTCATACAGTCCTGCTATGCTTAGAAAGAACGCCGTATGAACATTCGAGAGTTGGCAAAGGTCCCTAGTTAGGACATGCATTTTTTAGGAGAGTTATTAGTGTTTTTCATTGAAATTTTCGGATTTCTTGGATTAAGTCATGTAAAAAATCGTCCGAGAAATTTAGGGAAGAATATTCTCAACAATCCCAATAAATTCATATTTTATCGAAGGATATTTGGCAACACCTGAGGGTTCATGTGACGTTTTTCGTTACCATGACAGAGATTCTCCGTCAGATGTGGGATCAAGATAAATCTGCTTCTTTTTTTCAAAATTAAGTAATTAAATTTTATTTTTTTGCAAAGACTGATTGATTATTACTATTTTATTCAAATATTTTGACATGTTTTATTTTCTTCATCACTATGTTGTAGTATACTGCACAATTTTTGAAACTTTATCGGCACTGTGAACACTAATTTTTTGTTGAAATTAAACTTTTTTGAAAACTTTATTGAAAACCGATATACAGTTAGATGACTTACTTTCTTATTATTCCTTACGCACAATGGCCATTTCGGGCGGGCAGACCGCCTATCTTCAGGTGACTGTCACCTGAAGATCCCCCCCCCCCCCCGGAATGGTCATTGTGCGTAAAGAATAATAAGAAAGTAAGTCATCTAACTGTACATCGGTTTTCAAAAAAGTTTTCAAAAAATTTTAATTTAAACAAAAAAATAGTATTTTCTTTTTATTTATTTCAATCTATAATTTATTTTATTGTTTTTATTTCAATCTACATTAAGTATTTCTAAAAGAAAAGGAGAAGTTGCCTGATTTTAAAAGCACTGGAATCCCGCTGATTCCTCTGGGCTAAATACGATTCAAACGATGATTAATATTTGCTGCATTTTAGAGTGTTTACTAAAAGCTGTTTTTAAAAATAAGTCTTTCGAACGGTCGTTGCTACCAGGGATAGGCTATCTGATCGCTAATCCGAAGAATTAACTCTGCCAAGATCCGACCTCGCGATATGTTGTGAACATATCATTACGTAAAGTAAGTGCGTAAAATTCATTGACCCAAGTGAGTCAGCACGATTGACTCAAGTGGTTGTGTTGTAATGTCTCGGTACATGGCTGAATCCGGGTCATTGGCACATGGCGCTGAAACTTATCATTCATTCACCTCGGCCACGATTCTCCGAGGATTGACAGTTCGTCTACACCTCGTGAACTCGTTTGAACCGTCCAAGACGCAAACTTTCATTCTCATAACCTACCGACCGACTGACGGACTCGTGCCGCGTTTCGCGAGTGTGCGGTGATCGATATTTTTGACGAAATCCGCTAGGGGGCGCCACCTCCGTTTCCGTTTTAAGTTTCGACCTTCCATAGAGTGCTGTAATAGGACGTGTCACACCGTGAAGTTCGAATGCTGCTTGGTTTCATATATTCCTGTTGTATAATACTCCACGAAGCAACGAAAATCGAAGGTTTGACGGAGATTAGGATGATGTCGATCAAATTGATTTTCAATTTAACTTTCGATTTATTTCAAACAAAATTAAGAACTTTTTTGCACACTCAGTGTTAAGTTTTGACCAGGGCTTTTTCACTGCATTTTACTTCAAACAAAATTAATAACTTTTTTACACATTCAGTATTAATTTTTAACTAGGGTTTCTTCGTTGCATGCTGTGATTTAATTAGATTAGGAATCAACATTTTCACTCAACAAAATTGGTGAACAAATAGTGGTCAATCCACAATATTAATTTGTTTTCAAGTCACTTGAGGGAGAGATCAGTTTTTTTAAAAGGTATCTTTTGAAGATTTGAAAGAAGTAGATACATTTTTTCATTAAACGCAATTAATCACAAAGGGGACTCTACATATGCCTTTAAAGAGAAACAAGAGATTACAAATGATTTCCATATCGATTATAAGTATCCTAGTACTTAGCGTGGGCACTGGGGCCTTTAAAATTTTAGTTTTATATCCAACACCGTCCTTTAGCCATCAGCGATCAATTATGGCTTTGACGGAGAGATTAGTGAATGATGGTCATGAACTGTTCGTCGTCAGTCCTAACGTAGTTCAGGTAAGTACAATGTACATGAGATTTTAAAATCTTGTAAATTCTACATTTTTTATAGTTATCGTCGGTAAAATATGCAAATCTCGGTTATCGACGCACAGTGGAGCGAGTCAATTAGAGAGGTCGGACATGAAATTTTTAATAAAACTGCAAATTTTGATGTTCATTTCGTCACATTTTAAATTTAAGGAGTGGTTCTTCAAGAAAAGTTTACGAGGAAACCAATGGAGCCGCACTTTTAGAATCTTAAAAATGTGTATAAACGAAGTTATAAGCGTTTAAAGTTTCCACATTTTGTCTGACCTCTCCCACTGACTCGATCCACTGTGCGACGCGGTTCTGCACACTAACATAGATAGTTTATTAGCTAAATAGAAAAATTATTAACGTTGCTCTTGGAAACTTGCCTGATTTGTAAGTGAGAAAACTTCGTAAAAATTTCAAGGAATAGTAATGGTTCGTCCGCCTTTAATAAAGGAAAATGGGAGTGGATATTTTGAAACACCGCGAACAAGATTTGTGTTTTTGCAATTTCGCTGTCAATACAAGTCGATGGTGTTTTAAAAAAGAGGTATATTTTTGGTTGCTAAAAATAGATACGTTATACCATTTTGTTAAGAGCATATTGATGTCTGAAGCCGAAAATTGCTTACCACCGATTACTACGTTTCAAGTCATTGCTCAATGCTCACGGTTTGTTCCACTTTTTTTCTTTTTTTTAAAAGAAAGGTAACTAATATTTATTTCTCTTGAAATTTTCACTGAATTTTCCTCACATAATATTCACAGACGATTTCACGAAGTTAGTCTTGTTCTTAGAAATTAGAATATAATAGGAGACAATGTAACGCATAGGATAGAGATTTGCATTTTCCGACTTCAGCCATCGATCAGAAGAAAAATTCACACCTCAACTTATTCAAAACAGTAAAATTGTGTAAAATATTCTCATTTTTTATACACTTTACAGGGTTTGAAGCAGCACGGGAATTATACTCACATCGACGTTTCTTTTGCGTACGAGTACGTAAAGGATGCTAACAAAGATGGCGATATCACGCCGCATCTCAAAGCTACGAAATGGGACATTCCTAAAATGTGGGTTTTTTACGCAAAATTCACCGGAGAAGAATTCAAAAGCGAAATTTTCCTTCGATTTAAACGGTACGTTGGCGTTTACTTTTTTCTTAAAGTTAAAGATCTTAAGCAATAAAAAAATAGCACGAGAGAAATATTTAAGCGGAATGTTTGCTCCCTCCCCCCACAAAAAAAATTAAAACATAAAAATAAAATACGTAACAATCTACCAAGTTTAATGAGTCTAATAATACAAGAGAATAATAAAACGTGCACCAACTGAACTAAAGTATCTGAGGACCTTCGGCAAAGCCATTGCTATTCATAAGAATGTGTGAAGTAAATCATAGCAAATTACGCTTCACTGTTCCTTCTGATTTAATTTATTTGGACTTCTTTTCAATTAGGAACTACAATTTCTGGCTCATCCGTAAAGCCATTTGTGGGCATAAGGAAACCAACGATAAATACGCTGTTTCGAAACTGCGCCATGAATTGGACCGCGTTGATCAGGAAGGAACCAAGTCACATCAGCTATGGCTAAATTTCAAAGGGCTATTACATTTTGTACAAGAGAACGTTTGAGCGGATTCCTTTAAAAGTTTTAAGGATTTTGTTTCCTATACTATACAGAAAATTCACTAAAATTTGCACAAAAATTCGCACAACGGTTTTCATGGGAAAAATTAAATTGCCCCAGTTAAATTTGGCAACAGCTGATGTGGCTTGGTTCCTTCCTGGCTTAAGTGCTTAACGCGGTCCAATTGTAGTTCCTAATGGAACATCTAGACAGGGTACGAATTTAAGAATTCTGATACTTATTTCCAAACGGAATTTTACGTAAAAATATTTGTGCATTAAAAATTACTGAAAGCAACTCCTAACAGATATTAACGTTTTAATTTTACATCGGTTACGATAAATTTGAGCTTTCGGTCAAAAGAAACACGATACTCTACGTGAGTCAAATCGCGCACTACAACGGTTTGAATTCTGGCGTCAAGAAACATTAAATATCTTGTTTGGGGTCAATGTCAGTAATTATTGTTGAACGAATCGTGTTCTACGTCACATTTTGGTTAAGAAACATGTATCAGAATGCTTAACTTCGTACCTTGTATAGTGCAGGGCCGGATTAAGGGGGTGGCTACATGAGCCACGGCCCATGCCGGCAAAATTAGGGGGCGGCAAATTTTGCAATTTTTTTTAAATGCAGGTACAAAAAAATCGGATTCAGATAAAAATTACAAACAAGAAAAGATGACAAAATCTCTCATTTCCCGAGAGTTTATCAATTTCTAATTTTGTTGTATTTCGGTGATACCAAAGACTGCGCACCTTTAATTAGTTGAGTTAAGAGAGAAACCAAACACGTAATTTGGCCTGGAGCGGCGCGGCGCAAAGAGAAATGATGACGAGGACCTGAGATGGAAAGGAGAAGCCCTCGACGCGGCGGTCGGCATGTAACACATATTAGCGCCTACGAGACTGCATGAATACCTCACGCATTGCGTCAAACACAGTACGATCAACAGCGGTCGGCGCGGCGCGAAACGCACAGTGCCTACAAGACTACATGAATACTTCACGCATTGCGCCAAACACAGAGTGGTCAGCACGGCACGGCGGCGGAAGTTAAAATTATTAAACCACATTTATGTTTGTTCTTTCTTAATTTTTTAGTTCATTTCTTACAAATGAAGGGCCTTGTCCCCACAGAGAAAGGTTTACGGAACTGAACTTTCCCGCGAAGTTCCGTGAACTCGCTAGTAGTGTTGACAGGGCTTACGCAAAAAAATGTGTCCAACACGAGTGAACGCGTCTTATGCACCCTTCTCCCTCCGGCACGTTCACTTGGTGGTTTTTATTAATGTTTCGAAATGAATGAGAAGAGGGCGGCAAAATCAGGCGGCCCATGGGCGGCAAGTAGGTAAGATCCAGTCCCAGACCCCGACCCAGTAGGTAAGTTCCAAATCCGACCATGGTAGAGTCGTCGTCAGCTAAGTTGACGGTTGTTTACTTTCGATTTGCAAGCGCCAACGACGAATTCGGGCCTCTGAACAAAGCGGCGTTCGCTACTATCCACACTGAAAACATCAGTCTCATGATCGTATCGTAAAAACAATACTTATCAGTTATGATTTGCGACTTTTTTGTGGTTGTGATTTCTGTGTGGCTAAAAATTAAAGTATTACAAGGTTTGAAAGTCTTTGAAAACTTATCTAATTGTAAGCTTGTGTTTTTGCTTCTGAGAGAGTCAGATGTTTTCATGTGGATAGTAGTGACGCGAAAACGCCTGCAAATCGAAAGTAAACAACCGTCAACTTAGCTGACGACACCTCTATAGTGGTCCATTGCAATATTTAGTCGGCGTTTTAACGGATCTCTTTAGCATGAATAGATCCATTTCATTTGTATTTTTCAGGCGTGTGGAGATGGAGAAACTCAAATTCGACGTTGTGATCGCGGAGACATTTCTAATGCCTTTCACATGCGGGCTATCCCGCCTCCTGGCCGGTTCCGCGCCCATCATCTCGATGACCACGCTCCCTGTGGACTTCTCCGAGGACCCGTTGGGCAGTATCACGCATTTATCTTTCGTCCCTTTCATATTCAGCGACTACACCGATAAAATGACCCTGTGGCAACGCTTGGAGAATTGGATCTCACAGCTTTACATAATGCGGGCGTGCAGGAGCACCATGGAGGCGGCGGCGAGGAGATTTTTCAGGGAGACGTTCGGGCCTGGAAAAGAGAGCTTGGTCGATGGGTGCTGGAGTAACGTTAGTCTTTCGATCATCACCTCGAATTCGCTCTATTACTATCCGAGACTCTTGGGTCCGAATATTCTTGAGGCTGGACCCCTGCATCTGAAACCCCCCGAAAAATTGCCGCAGGTAAAAAAGTAATAATTCGTCAAATAAGGTATCAAATGGACGTATTTCTATCAAAGAGACCTATGTGGTGGTGAGAAATATGGGGTGTGCTCGTTAGTTCTCTGGCCGTAAGAGTGAATGAGAATAATGAAGCGCCAGTGACGTCAGTGGCGAAGAAACCAACGCCATTGCGGCTCGTGGGCTGCTTTAACTCATGAGCCCTGTTCACACCGCTCTCTGGCCGTGCCTGCGGCTCATGAGTCTCGCATTCAGTTGGCACATAGTTCTGTTTGATAGAATGTAATATCCCGCTTTTCCAATTCTTCAAAAGGAATCACGCTCACTTTTACATTGCTTCTTATGCAGCTTCGACGAGCACGTACATACACCCCATATTTCTCACCTGCACATAGGTCTGTATGGTAGAAATACGTCCAAATGTAAATGAATGTGAATGTAAGTCAAAATTCGTTCATGGTTTAGTGAACCCGTTCAGCAAAATCAACAAAACTACATTTTCAACCGTCTTATTTCCACTCACGTTTTATTTCTTTGCAAGGAAATTAAGCGACATATTGCCTTGAAACTTCCCGTAAATTTTCCCTTGATTCAAATAATTTGCTCTTATTCTAATTGAATGACCTTGGATTCCAAAACAACTTTTTACCATTGAAACTATACTAACCATCTTTTCACACCCTTGTCCACTCATCTTCACCGAAAAAATAGTGAGGTTGATTTAACATTCTGGATGTAAAAAAAATGTGCGAGAACTCACAAAATGCTAAATTACCCGCTATGGCAGTTAGATTTACAGCTTGACATTGCTAAAGTAACTGCTGTAGCGGTTAATCCAGCATTTAGTAAGTTCTCGCACACTTTCTTTACATCCAGAATGTTAAATTAACTTCTTTTTTTTTCAGTGTTTCTACAATCCCTTTTGACTTCTGCTTCTAGAATTTACAAGATTGGCTCGACGGCGCTCAGAAAGGCGTGATTTTCTTCAGCCTGGGGAGTAACATGAAGAGTTCAAATTTGCCGAAGGAAGCGAAGGAGAATTTTTTAAATGTTTTCAGTCAGCTACCAGCTGGCTACAGGGTGTTATGGAAATGGGAACTTGACGGGAAAATCCCTGGACAGACGGAGAATATTCTGACTCAAAAATGGGTGCCACAGGACAGCGTTCTAGGTAAGAAGACTTCCAAATTCCGTCCAAACTTTTCACAAACTGTTCAGAAATGCACATATTATCATCGGAGTAGTTCTACGCGCTAAGGGGTCTATCGAAACAAAACTGTTCCAATGCTATGGAATTTAGTTTGGTCCGGCCCACTAAACCACATTAATCGGTTTGTTACATCCAATTGGACGTATTTCTATCAAACGGAACTATGTGCATTATGACATGAGCTTTGTTATGCATATATTCTTATGGGTCTCAGAACTCATGTCTTAATGCACATGGTTCCGTTTGATAGAAATACGTCCAATTAATTAGTCCGTCGAACCAAATTTTAGGAAATCGGCCATCACCACCGAATAGCTTGATTAAGCAAACCGAATAATTTGGTCGTAAGTGTAAAACGAAACTTAATGTAATGCATCATGGTACGAAGTTATTACTTTATGTTTCAATCAATTCGTTTTTCTAATCGGCATTTCATATCACTGAATCTACAAAATATTCAGAAAAGTTGGCAACTTCCTTTATAAGCGAATATATAGGGTGCAGTGAAGCAATGAATGATCAAGAAATGTTGGCCAGAAGACAGTGTTTTTTGTTAAAGCACAGATCGAAGTAAATATTTCCAAAAAGAGACAAAACAGAATATTTGACTGGTTTTGTAGAAAAACTGATTTGCTAAGAAAACAACAAAATTCAAACAATTCAAATTTTGTAAAGTTTCTTCGGTTGAAATATTCATTTTCGTGGAAAATTATGAGTTCTTTTCCTCTAAATTATCAGATACTTGAAATCAAATTGCGGGTATAGTTCTTGGAAGAATTAAAAGAAATACATTCGAAAACTTCCTGAGACATTTTTTATTCATCAAAGAAAAGGTAAAGTACTAGGCTCATATGACTTTCTTCCTTGCACGGCACAATAAATCCATCACCGTGATGAATTCATTGATATGGATTATGAAATTTCTAAATTTGGATTTCAGAATTAAAGCTGAAGGAAATATGGGCTGAATTTTGCAATTCGGAACTACTATTTCTAGCTCACCTGAAAAATCCCCAATGATTATGGGGAAATTAATGGCGCATAATTTGTTTCTAAAATGAGCCAAAAATTTCACCTCCACATTGTAAAATGAAGTCCAAGTGTGAATTGAGTTAGCACGTTTAACGCTGTTCCTTTTGATTTCATTTATTCGGACTTCATTTTTCAATCAGAAACTAAAATTCCTGAAATTTACGAATTGACATTGTTCATTAAATGAATCAGTGAGAACGAAAACACACCAACTCGGTTACTTGAAAATGCTCACTTTTCATTAAGGACAGACAATTTTTACAAAGGTCATTGAAGTTACCGTATCTGTTCCTACTTGGACATTTAAAGTGTCCTTCAGTACTTGCTTTTAGGCACCAAAAATATTTTTCTTAGACTAACCTCTTCACCTTCTATGCAGTTTTGTGTGTGTCTCGATTTTTTTCATTTTTTCGAGTTGGTGTGTTCTCGTTCTCACTGATTCAAATGAGTCCGTGTTTTTTTCTTTCAGCGCACCCAAAAGTAAAACTGTTCATCACTCAAGGTGGACATCAGAGTTTCCAAGAGACGGTGCACTACGGGGTGCCAACAGTGGGCATACCGTGGTACGGAGATCAAGAATGCATCGTTTCCAAAATGGTTGACACTGGAACTGGTGTGCGACTTCCACCATACGACCTGTTCTCTTATGAAAAAGTAAAGGCAGCCATCGAAGCTGTGTTGTTTGATGACAGGTAAATTGAATTCAAATCACATGCTACTCTGCCGTACTAAGGAAAAATACCGTATGAGCCTTCAGACGTTGCCAAGTTTCCTTCAATAAAAACCGAAATTACCGGGAAACTTGTGAATATTATTTTCTTAAATTTTCAGACAATTTTGTACATAATTGAATCTAAAATATCTGAAAATTTCGAGGAAAAATATGCATGGATTTTGTCAAAAATACAGGTTTTATCAAGGGAAATTTGGCAACTCCCGAATGTTTATACGGCGTTTTTCCTTAGCACGGCAGTACTCTTGCCAGGGTTCACCGCTGCCTCCTGAGTAAAAAATAAATAATTTCTCTTACATATCGATGGCTAAAGTGCAAAACCACTTATTTCAATTGCAGTGTTGCAAAATATCTGCTCCTAGTTTATTTTTTTTTTGGAGAAAAACAGATAAACTTTATAGCATGAAGTGATACAGCAGATAGCAGCATACTCTGCCATATAGCGAAGAAAAATCAAGGAGGTTTTCAAAAAATTACGTTGACTAGTTTTTCAGAGGAAAAATAGAATATGAAAGGAAGTTTGCAACGCCGCCAACGGAAATACGTGGTCTCGCACTTTAACTATCGATATAATTAATCCCTTCAGTAAATTTCTAGTTCTACTGTTCTACTAGGCGGGAAGGAGGTTCCGATCGCAAAAAAGTTCCTTCAGTTCCTTGGGTATGCTAAAAGCCCTACAGGGAAACACGAATAGCCGTATCGTTATTTTGAAAAATACATGTACAATATTAAACTTTACACAATTATTCTCCTTTAATATGGACTAATTTTTGATGGGAAGTAAAACAAATTTGCTATTCTGGGTTTTCTTTTTAGATTAAAGAGAAGCAACATTTTTACTATACTTTAGTTGCGCTGGTTATACTTTTTGCTAAATGCGTGATCCACTTGTGATGAGTAGATCTGTTTTACCAGTCTTGTATCTACTTCGATTTTGAATTAGGTTCCTTTCCGCCATCCAGATAACTGCATTTGCTTTCCCTTTTCCAGTTTTTCAAAGAACATGAAAAGGCTTTCTGCCATATCGAAGGATTTCTCATCTCAGGCCATGGATAAAGCAGTCTTTTGGGTGGAGCATGTAGCCCGGGTTGGAGGGGCGTCTCACTTGAGGCCAGCAACCGCCGATGCGACATTCTTTCAGTATTTTTGCTTAGACATTATTTCCGTGATCTTAGCTTCAAGTATTTTAGTCTTGTTTGTGTTTCATAAACTTTGCCGAATTTTAATTTCACTAACCGCTCGGAGTGAACCGGTGTCGAAGCTTAAAAAAATTAATTAATTATTTTACGAAGAGTTCCTATTCGAATTATGCAAATAAATCCTAAAAATTCACATGCAACTGCACCGATGGGTTTTGCCTTCCTTGTGTTATTATCCTTCCTACTTTCCTTAAAGTCTTTTGATTTCCCAAACATTCAAACACTATCAGCACAGAATCTGATTTGTATATTATCACTTGAACACTATTAAAAAAAAAAAAAATTGCACCCTCCTTCTGTTTTACTCCGCAATAATTTTTCGGAACAAAAAAAAAATAAAAATAAAAATAAATAAATAAGTAAAAAAATGAGGAGCAATTTGCAACAACTATATTTACGGCAAAACTACCAGAACCACTTATGTCGTTTGCGGTGCGAAAAAGTATCCGCTCCCATTTCATTTTTTTGAAAAGGGACGAATCAATATAATTCTAAGAGTTTTCATCACGCAGAGAGGAAAAATCACGGAATTTTCAAGAATTGAGGTCGAGTAGTTTTCCATTTGAAAATGGAAAAACGTCTGCAACGTCGCAAACTGAGATACTATACGTGGTCTGGTATAGTTTCACTGTTAACATAAGATGCTATGCGGAGTTCATGTAGATAATGCATGTTCAGATTGCTGAAGATCATGAAATTCCGATGATATAATACGTAAACGCATAATACATGAATACAAAGTTTAGCCAGAAAATTATCCATAAAACACATTTCATACCCTTTTTTAAAATGTCATTATTTAGTGGAAAACCGCTTCTTTTTTGGATCCATTACGATTATGAGTTTTATAGTGCAATGATACTCGGTCTGAATAACGCAAATGGCAAAGAAAAAACTTACTGGATCCATCAAACCTATTAGTCGGGTTAAAAGTCAAGGCAAGTGCTCTTAACTAAATTTCACGCATCTAATACAGAATCTACTGAAAACTTCGAAAAACAGCTCATTTAAAAATTTAGCGTTTACATTAAAAATTATAATAAGCTTTACCACTTTTTTTCTACCTCTATGACTGAGGTCAAAACCCTGTTTGTCTGGCTTTATATTCTAGAGAGTTGTCTGGGTCACTCGGATAAGGTGTCAAAGGGTCAATGGCCTTTCTTTACCTTGTCAACTCCAGCCAACTGGGCGGATTAAACAAGTGTCGGTCAAACTTCTTATCACGTTGCCTAAATGGCTTTTAATCTATTTCTACTTTTTTCTAAAAAATCAAGCAATAATAAGCCTCTCCGGGTTCCGCAAATCTGAAGTCAAATCGTCGGTTTTGCATTGTTTGCAGGTGATTTTTTCTTTCTTTTTTTTTAAATGAGAAAACTTTTTCTACATGGCTCAACGGCCATTCGTAAGGCAAAACATACTTTGTGTCCTTCCCTGAAATTTATTTGTCCGTGACACACTATCAATATTGATTTCTTTGACCAGTGAGGGGATTGAGGGAAATGAATTCGCACACTGAAAAAAAAAAAAAAAAAATCTCGGTGTATTTACTAAGAAAATGGTAAAATTACCAAGAATTCAGGGTTCTATTTGATCCCAGTTTTTTCTTGGTAAAATTACCATTTATGGGATTGGTAATTTTACCGAGAAATCTCGGTAAAATTATTGAACTTTCTCGGTAATTTTACTGGACCTTGGTAAAAACGCCAATAATTGTTATCGACTGTGGTGGAATTACCGAGATAAAAAGGCAAATTTACCGGGAATTGATAACCAATAAAAGTGGTATTCTTACCTGAAAAAACAGTAAAAATACCGGTTTTTAGGTAAGCTTACCAGTCCGTCTTGGTAAAATTACCAACAATTGGTAAAAAAAGTGAGATGGTAAAGGTACCAACGGACCTTGGTAAAAACGCCTAGAATTTTAGCGGCTCTGGTGCTTGCACTAGAGCTGCTATTCCGGACGGTCCCAGCTGGGGAGTATCAATGCAGCATGTTACATTGTAGAGACCGCGCGTTGGTTGATGGGAATCGGCGCCATTTTCGGCTATGTTCCTTGTCATGACTTTATTTTATTGCATACTGTTTTATTGTTAGTCAATGCTATGTTGTGTATTGTATTTTTGGAATCATGGTGATACAGTCAACAATTCAAAACTTGTTTGTGCTTTTATCTCGTGATGGAAAAAAAATGTACTTTACGTTCAAAATTTGAAAATTTGAATTTTAAAGTTTTCGCGGTTAAGGAAGCTTTAACTACTGGGTTGGAGCTTCCTAGTCATATTACTTGATATCAGCTGATAGCAAACAAAGGTTACCAGGGAAACCGTAAACGTCTAAACAACTATCGTGGCCATTGGGGCGATTATTGAAATGATATCGACTGTATGTCGCCGCTTACGACAGGACATAGCCCTATCTTAACTGTGTAATATATCGCAATTCGATATTGTTTTGATTTTTAAAAGGAGCAATTCATTCATACAGTTCCGATTAGTTTTGGCGAACGGGCCCTTAACCTACGACACTCGGCTCATGGGAATTTTTTAACTTGTCCTGGACGGACTCGTCTGTAGCGCCTCGTTCTTCGTTGTGTGTGTGATTTCGTGAAGAAGTTTCTATGGCAATTTGCTTTTATTTGTGAGCTGTTTTTTCACGGGATTTTTGAATGTTCTGTACGAATAAATTCGGTGAGTACCTCATTTATCCCTCCTTCCAGTAAAATTATTTCAACTTTTCCTTCTCCCTCATTCTGGACCCACTCATGGGCTGATTATTTATGAAATTGATCTTCGAATACCTTTTGATGAGCTAGGGAAATGGAACCATCTGCATCTCATGGACAATAAATAGTTGCCGTAATTAAGGTCATCCCGTGATTAAGGTGCCGTGATTTAAGTCATAAATTCTTCATCTAATTCTTGATTCATCTCCAAAATGTCTGCTAAAGCTTTCATGCGCTTCTCCTTGTATGCATGAATGAGCAAATTGGGTATCGAACAAGCGGACACTTTTTGAAAATTTAGATGATTCTGGACAATATCGTACAGAAGTCCACGAGCTGCAGATAGAACCATTACCTCTAGCTCATCAAAAGTTATTCGAAGATCATTCAACAACCTCTTTGACAAGTTGCAAAAACTTTTCGTTAACAATAGTGTCACACGGTACTAGGAATATTTACTATTTAACGAACCTTATATTTCCCTGACTCAGTCCTAAATTATAGAAGTATGCGTTACTTTTCCAGCAATCCAAAAAAACAATTATACAAAAAACCAATACCTACACTTTCAGATATAAAAATGCAAATTTTTTGCAGCCTTGCTAAACGACTTATCAACCAGAGATTTTTTAGGAAGCGGACCTCCAAAGAGCTTTCAAAATTAAAAGTATACAACAAGTGATAATGCCATGTATTCGCCATATCAAAGCCCAATACACATTTATACACCGGCTACGTAAATCTGCTAAGTTACAAAACATGAATCGACAGTTGTCGGATTGTACATCAATGACAAAATGTGTCTAGGCCCTCATTCTTGACTACAACTACTGCCCCCAGAGCCGCTCTCCGACGCCAATGCGTTGGAGCTTCCTGCTTGTTTTCTCAGTGCATTCTGAATTTTAAACATAGCATGATTCAAAATTTAAGTAAAAGATACGGCGCGTCGTAGAATGTTTCAGTAAGTCAAGTGGGGTCAGAACAATCTATTCGAAGGTGTTGCCGAGTCTGGTGCTGGTGTCAAGTGTTGTCTGTGTGAGAAAATATCAGTCCATTCGTTCGAGAGCCTTGCTATACTTCTGCCTGTGCGATTTAAGCTTCTATCGTTGTACTTTCAACGCGGAAACAAAATCCTGAATTGCAGAACTGCAGTCCCATTTTTCTAAACTAAGTCAAATATTTGAATTATGTATGTATTGTGTCTGAGCAAAACTCCTCCACGTGGAGGTGCTATGTTAGTTTACAACGCACAATGAGTGCTCTCGAAAGAGTGACGTCATTGACAATGTATCATCCGTCATCTTGAAAAGTCGAAGTCTCGATACATCATTCTATTCTCCTTTTGCGAGGCTTCTCCTAACTATCGTGATCAAACTAAATGACCAGAGGGTACAATGGCCGAGTTACTCTTTTTGATTAGAATTATTTGCATTGCTATTTTCATATTCTGCGTAAATTCCTCGAAAGGTTTGATGAAGTTCGGTATTCGTCACAAACCTCAACTTCTCTATTCCAATAGTGAACCTGTACTGTTTGTATGCCTTTAAAAAGGTTGCGGGATTTAAAATGATATCAGTCATCAGTTTTTTCATCTTGACGCTTGGAACAAGCGGGGGAGCGTTCAAAATTCTGGTTTTATATCCCACGCCATCTTTCAGTCACCAACGTTCTATAATGGCTTTGACCGAGAGGTTGGTCAAGGAAGGCCATGAACTGTTTGTTGTTAGCCCAAATGTAGTACCGGTAAGTACTTGAGTCAATAAAACTTAGAGAAATTATCAAATACAGGGCGGATTTATTATTTGAGAAGAGGAAAATAGCCGCCTTTTAAATTTTTTCAAATAAATTTGGAATAATCCACAGGAAGAAATACCGTAGTCGAAAAAATATCAAAATGAAGCGACTGATACTTGAATAAATAGGAGAGACAAAAAAGTCAAAAATTATCGAAGCACGTAATGATAGCGGTTTGCAGTTTCAACAATTGCCGAATTACAACACATATCAAGCACTTTATTAGTTGAAAAAAAACTATTGAACCGAACCTCTCTCCGAAATAGCCTAGATGCTGATCGTCGTTAAATAAAATTAAAAAAAAAAAAAATTAACTAACATACATATATATATACACATGAATTTGAATGGCATATATTTTCGTGATCTACGACCCGTGATCGGTGCTCTTCACAATGTCTCAGGTCTGGGTCCGACATCATGGGAGAATGCAATAGTGTATTTTCTTCGGAAAATATACTAAAAATCTCACATTTTACCTGATACAGCGGGAAATTAATTAATTTCACGAATTCTGATGATTAAAAACGTGCGAGTCAATTTACTAAGCTTCATTTTCGGCTTTTACGACTTTGAATGTCACGACCGTCACTATCATGATTGATAGGTTGCACAGTTTTTAGTCTCACTGTCGAACGATTTTATATTTTTTTTCAACCACGTTATTAAACCATGTTTCTTACTAGTAATCGATGTGAAGTTCATGAAATTTTTTTAAAATTTTTCTACGCTAAAATAAAAAAAAGCCCAGTAAAAGAGGCACCGGTATTAACTTATTATCCTTAAACTATGCAGAGCTAGAAAAACAAATCCTCGATCCAAAAAAATTAAGTTGAATTTTTAGATTTTGGGAGGTCAAATCGGACAGTTTTCGTAGAAGTGCCCGTATCAATAATTTCACATTTTAACTGCTTTAGTTGCCACAGTGCAAAACCACGTATAAAAGTGAGAGAATGCACCGCCTAGTGACGTCATCTGGCGGCATTTCCCATTTAAACACATGTACATTAGCAGATTAGATCATTTCATCATATCCTCTCCAATAATGGAGATGTTGCATGTGTGAGGAATTTGCAATTTGACAATTGATTCCTGTGTAAAAGTTCGCGAGAAACACGATGGTGCCACTGGTTTTCTCTGAAATCAACTCCCAGGCTCAAAAAAAGCTCTCAAGTTGAGGCCAAAATGAAGGGAATATCCCACCCTACCCTAAGAGTCCGCCTCTACATCAAGATAAACTCTTCATGCAAAGATAGGGAGCAAATACATAAGCAAAGTTGCCGTGTTTTCAGTCTTGGAGTCCCAAATAAAGTGGTAGCCTTGTCAATGTATTTGCTCCCTATCTTTGCACGGAGAATTTGTTTTGATGTAGAGGTGGACTCTCAGGGTAGGGTGGGATATCCCCTCCATTTTGGCCTCAACTTGAGAGCTTTTTTTCGGAGTTGGTTTCAGAGAAAACCAGTGGCACCATCGTGTTTCTCGCGAGCTTTTACGTAAAAATCAACAATCAAATCGCAAATTCCTCACACATGCAACATCTCCATTGTTCCATTCATGAACCAAGCGTATCCTGGTGTTCAGTCCACTCAAAATTCTTAAAAAAAAATAAAAATAAAAATAAAGATACGTGGTTTTGCACTTTGGCCACCGAAACTTCATGCTAAAGCAGCCATTAGACTCGACCTCCTCCTAATTAAGTTTTCCAGGCGCGCGGAGACGGAAAAAACGAAATGGACCACTAGACAAGGTACGAATTAAAGGACTCTGATACATGTTTCTTAACGAAAATTTCACGCAGAACACGATTCGCGCAACGAAAACGACGGAAACTAACTCCTAACGAAGATATTAACGTTTTTATTTCACATTGGTTACGAGGAATTTGAACTGCCCGCTCACAAGAAACTCAAAGCCCTACGTGAGTCAAATCTCGCACTACAACGGTTTCAGCAAGCTTCTCAATCGAGCAATGTTCATTTTCCACCATGTGTTGTTCAAACTATTGGTAATTTGCTGTAGCTGAGCCAAAGCGTCAAGATTGAAGTTGAAGATGTTTACATCGCAGAGACTGTCATGATAAACATTTAGCGCGCGATGTGAATCACGTAGAGCATTGAGTTTTCATGAGCGGGTGGTTTGAATTCACGCATCAAGAATCATTAAATATCTTCGTCAGGAGTTGATTTCGGTAATTTTCGTTGTGCGCATCGTGTTTTACGTAAAATTTTGGTCATGAAACGTGTATCAGAATGCTGAAATTCCTACCTTGTCTAGTGCTCCATTCGACGTGGTCATCGTGACGCTTCCCTCCTTCGTCCCGTCCATGTACGGCCACTACACGGACAGGATGAACCTGTAGCAACGACTCGAAACCTGAGTCTCTCATCTGTATTTGATGAGGAAATTCAGGGATGGATTGGGGTCGGTGGCCGGGAGTTACTTCAGGGAGAACTTCGGCCCCGAAAAAGAGGGGTTGGTCGACGGCTGCTGCGGGTCGATTGTTGAATCGTTATCGAATGCTTCTGATCGATAAATCCCTATCTTAACAATGCTATATATCGATCAAGGTCATTCGATAACGATTCAACAATCGAGGAGCAGGAACTGTGCGAGCTTGTCGAGTGTCACTCCGAACCCTGCGTACTTCTATTCGAGATTGCTGGGCGCGAATGTTATCGAAGTCGGACCTTTGTACCTATTAAATCGCCGGAAAAATTGCCGAAGGTGGGTTCAAGAACTAACTATTGTGCGAGGCTCAGTTCTGCCGGACTGAGGAAAAACGCCGTATGAGGATTCGAATGTTCACTGGAAAAAAAAAAACAAGCAGAAAAATCCAACATGAATATGTTGGAAAAGCGTGCCGAATGACTGAAATGTTGGACACATACCTACTGTTTTCACGTCTTTGTTATTTGCATCAATGGAGAATTTGCACGCAATTTTTTTATTGCTTCATCTGAAAGTGCCTAATGAGCTGAGTTCGCAATATTTTTCATAATTTTTTTCTGACACGGGAAATCGGAGAAAAATTGATTTAAAAGTGAGAAAATGTGCCGCCTTGTGACGTCATCTGGCGGCATTTCCCATTTAAACACATGTATTTTAGCAGAATCGGTTATTTTGTCATATCTCCTCTAATAATTGCTCGATTTATGAATCAAGGGTATCTTCGTGTTCAGTTCACTCAGAGGATTCCACTTAAACAGGAAATTCATCAAATTTCAGACCCTTGCAAATTCTCCATTGGTACTTTTTGCTAAATTTGGGAGAAAATATTGATTCATGAACGTTGAATGTAAATTGATTTTAAAGATTCCGTCCAATTATCTTGATTTTAAGCTGATATGCGGCATTTCGCACGACCGTGATTTGGGCGAACTGCCGTGCATCGAAATCGCGTTGAGTTAATCTCTTTGGATTTCGAACTGTAACTTCTCTCCTATTCGGCCGATTTTTACAAATGAGGTCTCTTTTTATTTGTACTTTAACGGAAAGTCAGGAAAAACTCGCTAAATAGACGGAAAACGATTTTTGTGAAAATTTGGTGGATCCTGGCGTCACGGTGAATGGTTAATCGGGCGTGGAAGATAATAGGTTCGACGAGGCGACCCTCTCCTCGCCGTCTTTTATTGCCTTGCTCAAAACCTGACACCCAAAGCTATATCGGGAGATAACTGCAGTGGTTTGAGTGGATTTCTGCAGGGGCCACGGTTAGTACATGGTATAAAGAGTCACGAGGCTCATCACAGATTGCACTATGCAGTGCAAGACGCTCATTGGCTAAACAGTTTTGGCGGGAAAGAAGGTTCTAGAGTTGAGTCCTCCGAGAGTAAGAAAGCTTCTATGAGGTTTCTGTCAAATGAAATAATACGGTTTTGACAGGAAAATGTTCTCAAGGGTTCCCAATTAGCAGTTCATTCGGTTTTTTGGTAAGAGACCATCAGGGCTTGACAGTATAATGGTTCAAAGACAAGAAAACGGGTCCGAGGAAAAAAATATTTGGACGGCCCGTTGAATAGCATTGGTTGATCGGTGTGCTGTACTATGGTACATCCGAGTGATTTCAAAAAGCGAGCCCTACTGGCACGCTTAAAAAACACATTGGATCTAGAGTCCAGACTCTTGAAAACATTGACGGGAAAAAATCCTCTTGATGCAATCAGATTTTTGCTTCAAAAGGAAATCCGCTCAAATTAAGAGGCTTGGTTCTTGGTTTAAGCAAAAATCCGATTGAATCAAGAGTATTTTTTCTTGTCGATGTTTTTAAGAGTCTGAACTATAGATCCAATGTGTTTTTTTTCAGTGTTGCCAAATTTCCTCTCCAGAAATATTTACTTATTAAGAGAGTTATGAATATTCTTTCTTGAAATTTTCAGATACTTAAGATTTTTTCTCCTCAATATATTGATTTAATTATTTTTGAGGTTATGCGTCAATTGCGTCAACCAAGGTGGTATTCAAAATTTGCGCGCAGACACCACAATCCTCAAAGAGATCTGCTATAATATCACTAAAGCCCGTCACCTTTTGGAAGAATTTTAGTTAGCTTATGATGAATTTAGTTCTGTAAATCTAAAGAAATGATTTACGGAACTAAATTCATTATAAGCTAACTAAAATTCTTCAGGTTGAAGTGTGAACAAAATTCTCTAAAAAGTCAACGGTAAAATGCTTACGAATTTTCCCGAAAATGTGGGCTTTTTTCAAAGGAAGTTTGGCAACGGCTGACGGCTCATAGGAGTTCTTCCCTAGCACGGCAGATTTTATACAGGGATTTTTTGGTCTTCTTTCAAGGAGCTTCCCAAAAAGGAATTTTTTATCGCCAATTTTTAGGAAAAAAGGAGAGATTCTACCAATATGTGGCTGAAATGAAAACTTATGATGATGGATATTAGCTTTCAATAAACAGGTAAGCTCAAGTTCAAGGATGGTTTCAGCGATTCAGCATTTTATTTTATTACGAGCATTAACATACCGACGATGAAACTGCAGAATTGCGAATCTGGGTTTGCGGCGCTACGGGCTCCCTGTCATACTTTACTTTCTGCATGGGAAACTAATGAACGCCATTTTCTGAAAGTTTCAGTGATTTGTCTTCTATTTTTAAAACATGTTTCGTGAAAACTTCAAACCATGATGTTGGTTTGATCACCTTACAGGAAATAAAATAGTAGCGGAGATTTCGAAACACCGCAACCCAGATACGCATTTTTGCAGTTTCACTGTCGAATGTTAAGAGGTGTACTAAAAATTTAAACTTGTCATAGCTGATTGCCAAAACCAACTTTGGGCTCCAGTTGAAAATTTTAATAGAGTTTTAGTGCAACACCAACCGATTGCGGTGAACGCACGGGTCGTAAGACGGGATGTTGGAGTTTTTTCAGCCAACGTGAGTAAAAAGTTCACCCTAAAGCTGGAATCTCACCAGTGTTGCTCCAAACAGCATATCTCTTTGAGGGAAAATTGTGCTTGTATGAGCTTTTTCCCTCTCTAATGAAATTTCACCTTTAAGCTGAACTTTTTACGCACGTTGGCTAAAAAAACTCCAACATCCAGAATTTTGGTCCTGAAAAAGAGAGGTTGGTCAATGGCTGCTGGGACTGCGTTGGCCTGTCAATGATCACTTCAAACCCTGTGGATTTCATTCCGACATTGGCGAGATCGAATGTTATCGGATCTGGACCATTGTACATCAAATCTCCAGAGAAATTGCCGACTTTGCATCTTCAAAAATGGGAAGACAACAGACACAAATAGAACTTGGCAAATGCCAAAAAATTATGCAGATTGGCCTCCTACATCGCTGAATATAAATATGAAAATTATGAGAAGTTTTGAGTTCAAAATATCACATTCATCGTAAAGTGGGCAAAATTAAAGTATGACAGCCCGTAATGAGCGTGATGCGCTGATAGGTAAAAACTCTTTCAAAATGCCCTCACACGGAGAGAAAAACTTCGTGCATGCGACCCGAAGTTGAGGTCATATGGATGTCTGAAGATTTCTGATCACGCATCCGAAAACTTGAGGTCGAGCTGCCGAAGTTCGGGCCAAACATTGAGGCACTTCGCCATGTACCGGAGTACTTCAGATGTGGGACCCGAACCCTTCGGTTTATACGGAAGTACTTTAGATGTCTAACCCGAACTTCGGCAGCTGAACCTCAAGTTTTTAGATACGTGATCCGAAAACTTCAGAGATCCACATGACCTCAACTTCGGGTCCCACGCACGAAGTTTTTTCTCCGTGCAAGAAGTACTCGTGTTGCTATACTCTACCTATTTTGGTTTTTAGAAAAATAGGGAGGTTTTTTCATTTTTTGTTTGTACTTTCAGAACTTACAAGATTGGCTCGACGGTGCAGAGGAAGGAGTGATTTTTTTCAGCCTCGGAAGCAATATGAAAAGCAAATCTTTGCCGGAAGAAGTGATTGGCAACTTATTGCTGTTTTTCAAGGGGTTGCCGGTTGGCTACAGGGTGCTGTGGAAATGGGAGCTGGATGAAAAAATCCCTGGACAGCCGGAGAATATTCTGACTCAAACTTGGATGCCACAGGAAAGCGTCCTAGGTAAAACACCACGCAAAATACAAATCGTTGCTCTTCCAGCGTAGTAGTATATCGTCACCTTCCAGCCACAATATCATAAGTGCCATGCGACGTTTAAAAATTTCCGCAACCATTTTATTTTTTTACGGAGAAAATGTTCAACAAAGCTGTCCGAAAATGTCACTAAATTTTCTTCGTGCTAAGGATCTACGAGTATATCCATTCTGGTATGGACTCGGAGATCCATAAGAATACATTCAGAACATGGCTCACGTTATCTTCTTATGACCAAAGTATCACAAGCGCCATACAAAGTTTCTAAATTTCGCCCCCATTTTATTTTTTTACGGAGAAACTGTTCAACGGAGCTATCTGCAAATTTCACTGAATTTTGCTGATTTCACTGCCGATAAAATTTAGTGAAATTTTCAAACAGATTCAACCAACAATTTTTCTGTAAAAAAATAAAATTGCAGCGAACATTTTTCAACGTTGCATGGCGCTTGTGATATTTTGGACGGGAGGTGACGATAAATACCTCGATTTCCGCATGAGCCCCAAAAAGCATGCATTCATACGTAAAACAGAGCTCACGTGGAAATTGAGATACGTCCTTACGTCAGTTGGGTGATGAAATGCCGTTGAACGCCATTACAGAGATATCTTTGAAAGAAATGTTTAATTGGTGAAAACGCAATATGGACGAGGTGTATTCAATGAGGCTAAGACCGAATAGCTCGAAATGAGTCGAAGGCAAAACAAATGCAAAAATTGGAAAAATTAGTTTCCCCATGCACATGAGTGTTTTTACCGATGGTGTAGAAATTGTACTTCCTAATTTTAAAATTTAGTCCAATTATAAGTGAGTAATTACGGACATATAAAGATGGTTAGAGGACTGAGACGTCTTGGGGTTCCCCCATCATATCTCTACAATATTCACGGAAAAAATAGGATAGTCCTCACAACCAGCAGCTGGTTAAAATTTGCCAGCTACCGTGCGGTAATTAATGTAAGTATCGCACGATACCTGGCGCATGTTTTACCAGCCGCTTGTTGTGAAGAGCATCCTATTTTTTCCGTGTTTTATGACGCGAAGAACAAAACAAAATCAGTGGGAAACGAGGCTAAAAGTACCTTTTTCAATGTTGGTTACCTTGTTTCCTTTTTTGTTGTAATGGTAATTTTAGCCTTCTTTCCCTTTGACGTTCATTTGTTTTTTGTATCGTACATGGCGAGCTGCCATAGTTTCAAAATGTTATATGTAGCACCAAGAAACCTATTTTGATAAATGCTGCTGCCCGATTATTTCAGCACACCCAAAAGAGAGTGTTCATTACACAAGGAGGACTCCAGGCTTCCAGGAGATTACGGAGTGCCAACTGTTGGCATCCCGTAATTTGGAGATCAGGAATGCATCGTCTCAAAAATGGTAGATGCTGGAGTGGGCGCACGATTATCGCCATCGGATTTCTATTCATATGAGAAAGTAAAAGCAACCCTTGAGGTGGTTTTGTATGATGAGAGGTGAGTTTAATTAGAAAGTTTTACGTAAAGAAAAAATGAGAGTTTAGACCCATTTACATAATTGCATTTAGCAGAAGAAAATCAATGAAATTTGCAGGGAAATTGAGTCGGGGCCATATTCAGAGTTATTTCTTGAACAGCTCATTTTCTTGGGAGATTGCATAAGTTTTACACTGTGATGAAGAAGGGTATAAAGAGGTTTTAAGCATATGATCATAAAATTGACAATTTTTGCAAACCTAAAATTCAGCGTCATCTCTGGAAATGGATCCTTATATGGCTTTGAGATCATATTTCCTTCCAAAAAAAACATAACACGGAAGAAAATATTTCGTGAGTTTTGTAAAATTTAGGGTAAGTTCACACCTCTCTCAAAGTTTTCAAAACAATGATGGTTTTACTTTTGTGTTTTCTACTTTTTGCAGTTGTGGCAAATTATTGTAATTCCTTATAAGAATCGTATAAATCAATATCCGGAGTCATAATTGTACTGTATTTTGCAATTTGGACCTATAAATTCGGGCTCATCTGAAAAAAACACTTATGTGCATAGGGAAACTAATGGCACATACGTTGTTTTTAAACCGGGCCAGAATTTATAGGTCCAAATTGCAACAAGTTGGTTTTTGCAATCGCTAGCGATAGCAATATTCGTCATGGGAACTTTAGCTTCTGGGATATGAAAATTTTAAGGTACAGTTCGTTTGCAGTATCTTCAGATTTGAAGGGGCTATGTAATTTTGTGTCAACATCTCTTTTTTAACATTTTTAATTTTTTTTTCTTTGCATACAAGAAAGCTGTTATTTACCAATTATTTATTTTCGTTGGATTATACATGGTTTTCGGAAGTTAACGCATTTAACTTTCAGTTTCGCTTTTTCGGCGTAAAGTATGATATTTTTACTCTACACATATGCCCAAATACGCATCATAAGTGACCT